TCAAAAGAAATGCATCGCCACTTTGGCGAAAGATTCATAACAAAAAAAAAAAAAAAATATTCTTAAAAAAAAAGATGCAAGAGATTGATAAAGATTAAGGTATGACGAACTCTATATTTAAGTTTTGTAACACCGTGCCTTTTAAATTACAAGATAATTCCATTTTAAATTTTGTATTCGGGTGATGCAATACTTTTGATCGCCACTGTATATATTTAGTAATAGTTAACTTGGTATTCAACAGGCAAAGTATTTCCTTTCGCTTATTTCGTATTTTGAAGGCGAGTTTTTATTTTTGATGATAAAATTTAATTAATATTGCAAAATGTTTATTAATAATATTCTATAATAAAATTTGATTTGAATTATTAATAAATAAGCTAGTATTACTTTCGAACTCAAATAATTCGGATTAGCTTTGTTATCGAATGAATTAAAATCTTAATTTTTCACAGAATCAATAAAAACAAAAGATTTAGGGATTAGGCGTGCGTGGAGTGGGAGGGAGATTAAATAGTACCCAGACATATTTTACAAAGGTCAGTGAAAATTAATTTATTTCATAAAAGCGACTTTTAATCGTTCTTTAATCTTGCGTAATAGATAAATACTGGCTACGGTACGATAAATAAGTTAATGGTATTGGTAATCGTTCGTAAGTTTCATACTATAATAAAATAAAGTTTATCTGGCAGTGTAAATGTCAATGTCTTAAGAGATTCATATAGGTGAATTTGTGTAACTCTTTCTAAAGATCTATTTGTATAAAAAAAAATCAAATCAATCAGATCCATATATGAATGACATCATATATGTTTAGGTCTAATTATATTGCATCCCTTCCTTTCTTCCTTTGCATTATTTTAACATTATAACTTCGTTTATTTTTAAATTCCGAATTTCTTATTTATTTTTATTTTGTATTTGCGCGGTTTTAATTTATTTATTTTAATATATTGACATTGCGAAAGTGTAAAGCGCCGAAACACTGATTAATTAATTTATATTATTAAATAAATTTATCGTCTAATTACTTAATTTTCTTCAATGAAATCCCGCTACAAATAGAAATTGTTTATAAATAAGAGCTGAATACAACAATATGTTAAAGTTAAATAATATTGCACACGATTTGGTTTCTTAAAGTAAATTACAACAAATTGAGCCTTTTTAGGACAATAAACTAGCAGCTTTTAGCCATAATCGACTAGGATCTCTCGCACTTTGCTCGTCATAGTATAATCTATGTTTAGCTGGTTTATAAGTATATTCTAATACATCGTAGTTATTGTCATCATAATTCTCTTTTATCGTAAACGAAAATGTCAAAGGAATCTTAAATTGAGATGGAATTAAATCCTTTAATGATTCATTTTGCAATATTCCAATACCAAACAATTCTATATACAAGTCATCAAATGTGGAAACTTGACCACCAGGATATGAAGCATAAGATAATGGCGTATCCTTATAACCACCAACTGCGACTGTGCTTACATTAAATTTTTCCGCCATACGATGAGTAATCGTTGAACATGATGAACCACAATTTCCATTGGTTAATATCATAATATCTTCACTCTTCCACTTATATTCTTTAATATTTCCTGCTAATAATTTGATAAATAGACTAAATTCTTGAGAATATCTACCAACAAATTTTGATGTATATGTTGTAGGGGTTTCTCCCCTTACGTATGTATTATTACCAATAAATTCGTCTACCGTGCGAAAGTGGTTATCTGTATTTGGATCTTTGTAAGCGAAAATGTCGAATATTGAAGTTGGTTGGAAAACTAAGTTCACAGTATTTGCGGCCCATCTAACTAAGTGTTCGGTACTTAGGCTTGGTGGTATCGTGACTTGTATTTTATCTGTTACATCGACAGAACTTGATTGTATTGTTGCTGCCTCAAATGCTGCTCGTGACAAATCACTAACTATCATATCGTAGTTGAATGATGGACTTGAATCTGGAAATAATAAATAAACAAAAAATAATGCCAATGGTACACTTCCTCCAGGATTCTCGCTAAAATCCAGTACGAGCTATTAAAATACGATGAAGGATTGTAAGAGTTTATTAATAATTAATTTTAACTAAATAATCACTTACTTTTGTTACGCCTCTTTCTTCTAATAGACTAAATCCGGTTTGTAGTTTAAACGTTTGGTCAATCCAATCCGATGGGTAAACTGTTGGGATGGCCACAACCCCTGTTTTATTATCACTCAACATATAAAAAGTAGCCATCGATGTGTTATAGACTAATTCAACATCACTCATTGATTCATCATAAATTATTGGGTCAAACATTTTACTAAATTTATCAGAGAGATTGGTTGGAATGTCTTTCAATATACAAAATGCATCCCGAAATTCTTCCGATGTATTAAACCTATCATAATAGGGTGATCCAATCTTCCATTCCCTAACAAATTTAGTCTTTACATCATTTGCACATATAAGAGAGTATTCTATTGAAGACTTTTCCGGTAGTGAATATCTTAACGTAAACTGGTTAGAATAATCGGAGATACTTTTGTATCCCATCTCATTAATTCTTAATGCTGCTAAAGCTAAATTAAATCTTACTCCTGCGTCTTTTGAATTAGATAACATTGTATCTGCAAATTCTTGAATAACCTCCATTGAAGGTCTTCCATCAATGTGTGTCACCTCACAATCAATGTTGCCACCATCTATTTCATCATCGAATATTTTGATTATTTGCACATCATCTTCATTGATTACTGAATATAATGAAAGTTGTTGGCTATACTTGAATGTTGATAAATAACACTCTGGTGAAAATTCCAGATGTGGATCTTTCAATTCTAAAAACAATGTGCGTATATCATGCTAGAATAATTTTAAGACAAAGTCGAATTTTTTTTTTTTTTTTAAAAAAAAATAGAAATTCAATGATTCAAAATAAATGAAAATGGAATATTTATTACCATGAATTGAAACTCTGTCGTGTAATCCTTTAATAATAATTCATCTAGTTCCTTAATCAAATCAACGGCTCTAAACGAAAATCCTTGCTGGGGTCCTTCCTTAGCTTGTGATAAATATACATAAAATCCTTGAATTGTTTTCTTCAATGTATCGATCGTCTGAAAAAAAATTAAGAAAATAAAATAAATCAAAACAAAAAAAACTTTTGCTAATGAAACTTTTTTAAAATTTACACTTTCAGCTATTTCTCTGTCATAAGGAAATGTTTCAAGGCAAGCCTTCACATCAGAATATTTCGCGCTAAATTCCGGATCTTTATTAGATTTTTGGTATTCAGTGATTATTCTCGCACATGCATCATCATTCTTTGTTTCCTGTGAAATAACAGATGATAATGTGATTAACGAAAAAATAATTATGTATAAAAATAATTTCATATTTTTTATATCTATATATTTTTTTTATCTGCTATATAGATAATATCATCGTGAAGATTGCAAAACTGTTCAATTTATACATCTTTCCAACAATTAAATTATTTAGTTTTTTAGAATAAATAAAAGAAGAAATTGAGAATGTGGCGCAAAATTAGATAAAAAAGAAGGCAACTCAAAAATGGAAATTTTTATGATTACTATAGGAGAAAAAAAAGCCACGCGGTATATATGGCTGCAGTTATCCGTGTCATCAGCTGAAAAATCAATTCATTATCAACTTTTTCGCTTTACGCTAAAATTATATCAAATCATATCATTTTATCCTTGAGGCTTCATTTACATGATTATATGGCGGCTTCGTTAAATTAATGCAGCATTTATAACGAACGTTAAAACTTAATTATAAAATTTATCCGTATCCGTTCTTTGTTTAAGGATTTGGGTAAACACGTAAAGACGGATATCCCTATACAAACGCGGGTTGAAAAAAAAAAATAAAAGAAAATTTTCAACCAAACACGTACAATTCAAGCCTATGTTCTTCAGAAACAAAAAATTGATAGTATCGGAATTAGTTACCCGTACCATGAGGATTTCACGTGATCAGACTTAGTTACCCGTACCATGAGGCTTTCACGTGATCAGACTTAGTTACCCGTACCATGAGGCTTTCGCGTGGTCAGCATCCTTAACATAAGGTGGGGGTGTAGACCTTTATATTTCGTCTAGAAAAGTTAGAAAAGTGTTATTTCTTTTTTCACAGTTTTTTTTTATTTTATTTATTTTTATTCTGTGGTTGAACCAATTTTCTAAATATAAAATATACCGAAATATTTTTTATTGAAAACTTAAAATAAAAATGTGATGAAGAAATAAATATTAATGTAAGATAGTCTATTGTTATGGCAACTGCTTTATTGTTATAGAGCTTACAGCTGTTATATTCTAATAGTAAAAGGAATAGTAAATTATGTATATAATAAGTTGTTTTTGTTCAATAAATAATGATTTTTAACAAAAATAATGAATCATGTTTTATTCAATAATAAATCTTCTAAAATGAAGCGAGAAATATATTTTTCACATTTTTCCTTTAAAACACTGCGCTAAATACTGCAAAATTCGAGTATTTCTTCGTTCTATTTTTCTATGAAAATATCGCGAAAATTCTAAGATATACAGTATGTTACACAAATAAATCAGGCTCAATCGTACACCTCAATTTAGGATAAGTGTCTACACCCCACCCACATGCCCATACGTATTTTTGTTTGTTAATTTTTGTAAAAAATTAGATTAACACGAAATTAATGAAACCACCCTTTTCGAAATGTTATTTTACAAGCATCTAAACAAAATTGAGAACACTATTTTTAAATTATAATTAAAACAAAAAAAAAATAAAATTTCTCTTAATAAAAACCAGTATATTACATAAGTTATCAAAATAATTCCAGAAATCAATCTCAAAATCAATATTATTATCGAATTTCTGAAAATTACATAATATAATTTATTTATTAGATCTGAAATGCTTGCTTGCTTTGGAGATACATAAGTCAACACAAAAGGAAAATTCTACGTCATGAATTAGATATCAGTCAAATTCAAATTGCGGATGGATGATGATATGTAAAAAAATAATATTGGTAGATTTTTTTTTTTAAAAATTTTAAGTATTTAAAGAAATGTTTTTATTTTTTTTATCCCTCCTAACCAACTATAGATTTATCAATTGATAAGATTAATTTAATGTGTTTAAAAACAAATTCATTAGGTATCAATTAAAAAAAAAATTTTAGAAACAGTACATAATATATATTACGCTGTAAATTACAATAGTTAATTTAATTTTAATTTATATCTATGACCATAAGTAATGTTTTAACTTTAATCGTGTCAACAAAATTTAGCAGATATACCGTAAACGGTTGACTAAAGTATCCCCCATAGTATTGTACCAATACCCATAAATTTGATGTAAAAGACCTGGGTATTATACATGAAGAGTTTGGACCTTTTCTTGCAAAATTTGTATGGTATCCGAGTTAGGGTTGGATCGGTCCGGTCCGGTCCGGTCCAAAAAGACCGGTCTTTCATCTTTCTTTGGACCGGACCGGTCCATA